ACCGGGCGAAGCAGATCGGGCGTGAAGAACGTCATGCCCATGGCCGCCAGCATCTCGCGACAGTCCTAATTGTCATTTTGATTTTTGATTAAGTGATTTCGTTAATTGTGAGAGTTTTGTGGGAAGAGGAGCAGTACGTCTGGCGTCAGGTGGCGCCCCTCGGCGAAGGCGTCGATAAAAATCTCTCCCCCGGCTGGGTTCGTGTATTTGACCATGAAGTGGCCTGTTGGTGTTGGGGAGAGGACTTGTGTGGTTAGTGGTGGGCGTTCTTGTAGTATAGGAGAGCAGCGTACCAGGCATGCCGATCATGTCGATTCGAATACCGAGCCGCCGACAGACCGCGGCGTATACCAAAGCCAGAGCTGAATGTGACAGAGGAGGATACAAGTCAGCCAACAGAATACAATGGCGACGATGGCGATGGTGATAATGAGACGACGACCACAACAGAAAGAGAGGGAGGGGCTCACTGATTGGAATGCCCATCCTCTTCTCCAGCACTTGGTCGATGAGGCTGTTGGTAGGAGAGAAAGAGAGAGAGAGAGATGGTTCGTGGTTAAAAGCAACATCACATGAGCTCGCTGGTGTCTGGCGCACCTGTTGTTCGGATTCATATAGTCGTTGACGTTGCCGGTGAACCCGAGGTAGTCGTACAGGGTGGTGTTGACCTCGCTCAAAATCCTGCCTTCGTCCACTCCCTCGATCTCCTTCCCGCGCGCCACCACCGCCGTCCCCTCCTCCCCGTCCACCGCCGCGCTCTGCGCGAGTCGCTGTCGCACAGTGCCGGCGATCTCGTCCAACTCTCTGTACACCTTCCGCCGCACGTTGAGATCAGTCGTGTGTTCCCAAGACGCTATCAAGACGGCGCCCTCCTCGATGTCGATCTCGCGCTTGACGCTGCCGTTTCGCTTCCTTCGTCGCTCAGAGTCTCCCTCGTCGTCTTCTTCTTCTTCTGGAGGTTCTCCGCCTCTCCCACCGCTGCTGCTGCTACTACTGGTGCAACTACTACCACTACTGCTGCTGCTGGATTCCTCCATCTCGTCGCGCTGGTCGTCGCTATCGCTTCCGGAGAGCATGCGATCGTCCCTCGACAGAGCCCCGAGTATCTTCTTCCACTCCTTCTTGATCCTCATCTCCGTCAGCGCCTTGACACAGAAGTGTAATCCCACAGTGAACGACGGTCAGCGAGAGTGAGTGTGAGTGAGTGGCTGTGCGTACCTGCATGCAGATGGTCGCGTTGTGCAGAAGACCCAAATACTGGAGTGGTCGTCGCTGCCAGCGGGCGATGAGCGCAGTGAGCTTCTCCCACACGTCCATTCCTGCTCCCGGGCGAATTGGAGATTAGAGAACCACCGATGGTTCCGGGGTCTGCTAATGTAATTGGCAGTAGAAGAGTACCCAGCTCTTGCAAGCGTTGCAGGGCATCCCGGTGTGTGGTCGTGCGAGCCAGGAGTGCGAGCAGACCCGGCACCTGGAATAGGAATGGCACTCCGTAGTTAGAATAGAAGCAACGAAGCCTTCGATGGTGTGGGTCACTGTTGCGTGCGCACCTCCTTGTCCCGTCGCACTCTCTGGAAGTGCACAGCGCGCCAGTTCGTGCCCCT